TTTATTTTCAATAAATGTAGTAGTTAAAATTAAAAACATAGGCCTACTATAGAAAATTATATTTATAGTTAAACTTTGACGAGACTTTCTTGATTATCTAACAAATCAATTAATGTTATTTAAATGGGGTATTGAACATTCCTACAGTGTAAGCATAATAAAAACTTCTAAAAGTGTAATGATGAATTTATTATAGCATGAAATATCCAAAACAAATTAATAATGGATAATTTATTAACTAATAAAGTTACAGGAACGATCTTAAAAGTCACTCGAATCCAAACTGTAATTATGTTCTTCATTCATTGTTGGTGAGCATCTCCTTATGCCTTCTAAATTAAATCATTATACATAACAAATCTTTCGTGTTTTTATATAACCATATAAAACATAAATTGACTTTAAAACAAAATTTAGTTGCACTACCATACTCAATTAATTTGATAAAAATTTAATTAGTGTTAAACTTCAACTTGAAATAGTGCATCATTACATTAGAAATCAGGCATACGTACTATATTACCCAATATTTAAATTATCCCTTACGCGATCAGAAATGTAATAACTACAAACCTCTCATCCGTTATATTTGATCACAGCCAAATGTTTACACGTGTTCATTGGCAATAACCTCGTGCCATACCAAATTACATCTCATGAGAAACGTCCTGGCGTGCATTTAGTTTTTTAACTGATCGGATCGGAACGGATCTGACCGGAACATACCTAAACGGATCTGACCAGAACAGATCGGAACGGATCAGAACGAGACAAACCGGAACAGATCGGACCGGACCGGAACGGAACGAACCGGACCGGAACGGAACGTACCAGACCGGATTAGACCGGAACGGACCAGACCTGGACGGACCGGACCAGCCCGGAACGGAACGGACCAGCCCGGAACGGAACGGAACTAACCAGCCCGGAACGGAACGGATCAGGTCGGACTGTAACAGATCGGACCGTAACAGATCGGACCGTAACAGATCGGATTGGTACGAAAGAGATCGGATTGCAACGGAACGAAACGGAAAGAAACTGAACGAAACTAAATGATTTTGACACAACAAGGCATTAACCTATTTAAGATGGCATCAACACGAGATTTCATTTCTGACATGTCCTAAGCGTAAATAAGAATGTCATCAATAAAACAAGCAATTCCTTTAGGACTCATTAGTATATTATGGTCCCTTGTTGACTGAAAAAGCGATCCTGCACTTGTTATTCCATAGGCTAGCCTGCGATATCGGAACAAACCGTTGTGGTTAGTAGTTGTCAACAATCGCAGTTATGATTATGTAGCTAGATAATACTAATAGTAAATTAAAAACATTCTATCTACATACAGCAGATATAGGGGACATAATATTTTTTTCTTTAGCGTTCTCAAGCTGCTTGTCAATATTTTCGAGGAACCAAAATTGTCTTCTTCATCTTGATCTTAGTCACGGCTATAGCGGCTAGTACTAAGTTATGTAAATAAATAAATGCTTAGTGCAAAACTGTAACTTATTTACTTAACAGTTTTACTTAAATTCCGTATTGACCAATGCAGAGGCAGTTAAACACTTTTAATTGTTTCCAAGAGGAATATTAATGCTTATCATTTCCATAAACAATGCAGCAAAACAATCAATTTCGAAATTGAGTCACCTTTGAAAACTTTACCACATAAATTAAATGCAATTAAATTGTAACCGTAAACATAGTCCTTTACTTGATATTTTAGAATTAGTCGTTCCTTGTAAATAGTCCAGGAATATATAAAATCTTACCTTATAATGTAGCAAAAGCAGCTTGCATATCCAGGGCGTCCCACAAGTTAAGTGTCAAACTCTGGAAAATGGTTCTAAAGGAACAAATTAAAGATAAATCAAGAAAGAGGTTATTTTATATAATTACTTAGTTCATTATTCTCACACGTTTTTTTTTTATTTTTTTACACAACATATTTTACGTTTGTCAATTCATCCGGTCTTTATGATGTAGTAATCATAGAAAAGGTTATTTTCATAGCCTAGTTAAGTTCAAGCATTTAAGTTTAGTAGTAGTCAAAATATTATCTTATCAATAAAAAGACCACATGCTCTAAACATTAATGTCTAAACACATTGCAAAGAGAATACGGATAACACAATTTGATTTTCAATAAATGTAGTAGTGAAAATTAAAAACATAGGCCTACTATAGAAAATTATACTTAAAGTTAAACTCTGACGAGACTTTCTTGATTATCTAACAAATCAATCAATGTTATTAAAATGGGGTATTGAACATTCCTACAGTTTAAGCATAATAAAAACTCTTAAAAGTGTAATGATGAATTTATTATAGCATGAAATATTCCAAACAAATTAATAATGGATAATTTATTAACTGATAAAATTACAGGAACGATCTTAAAAGTCACTCGAATCCAAACTTTAATAATGTTCTTCATTCATTGTTGGTGAGCATTTCCTTATGCAACCAAGAAATAAATATTTTGGGTTAAAATTTGGCTGCGTATCATACATGCAATTTTGATATTTTAATCGGCCTGTCTGTTAAATTTAGATGCATAATATGTTGGATTGTCAAACCGGCCGTGCTATAGTATAGGAATTTATGTTTTAGAATACTTTTTCTAAGTTGCCAATCAAAGTCGCATTTTGTTCTTTAGCATTCGTATGCAAAATAGCTAATCCCTCAACATTTTACTTTGCCCAATAACTAGCTCACTACTTTGCTCAAAACCTTTCATCAATTCAAACTAAACAAAATGATATTAAGTCTAAGTTGATTTTAATATAATGACACAGAAGGAAATGGACCGTTTAAAATTAATGTACTTCTTGCATGAATATTGTTATTATCAAACTTAACTAACAGCACTCAGAATAAATAACAAATTAATTATCAAATGTTGAAGATAATTAATAGTATATACAAAAATATCATTTTTCGTTTACCGAATTTGAAGATGGCAATGCTACTTTTTACCACGACCACATTGTCACAATAATGCAGCTGTACCACAAAACATCCTAACCTCAATCTCGAAACTGCATTCATTGAACACATTGATTTTCAAGCTGGCACATTAAAAAACTTTAGACAAAATATAAGATGTCAATGATTTCTTGTAGGTATATCTAGTTGTTTTAGCGTAGTAGGAGTGGTATTTGTTTAGGATAAAAAATAGTTCACCAACTTTGAATTACTATGAATAGCCCATGAGTACGCATTAAGTGACATTAACTGACTGTTTGTACCATTTTAGCCCTTTAAGTTATTGTTTTATTTGTTTAAGTGAAATAAACAAGGTACTAATAAAATCAGTGGTCGTATTAGTACATACCAAATACATACACTCTTTGGATTTTAAAAGTACAACTACTGAAAATAAAGATAGGCCTAATAGCTTTTAAACTGGTGATAAGCTTGGCGGTGCTCACAAATATCTGTAGCCTAAGTTATTACAGATATTTGTGCCTGCTTTCCTCATATTCCAATTTAAACGGATCGTAATATTTTATGGCACTACATAGTTTATAACATATTATAGGAGTGCCATCAACATTCAAGTAGTTTAGTTAGTGTTTATGATTAAAACGTTTATATAACATCCTGTAGTTCCGAGTATGAATATTCAGCGTAGGTTAAACTTCAAGGGGAATCAAATATATCACACTTCTAGTTGCTACAAAGCTTTGCCAATTATTTATTACTCTCGGAAAACATACTTTGCATTAATTGTTGGTGAGTACTTAAACGTTTGACTCGTCTAGCTAATTGTAACTAAATACAAACTAATCATTTAAAGCATAATCAATTCCTTGAGTAATCATCTGCAGTATAAAGAACAATAAATCACTAAATTTGTTCTATATCACATGTAAAGTAACACGATAGTAATATTAGAACGTGCGATGAATATAATTAATTCACATAGGTAAAGGTATGTTTTGGCTCAGCAAAAATATTACTTCATCATTTAATTTGAATAGTCACATTCACATTAATCCCAACAAAATTTTGAAAAAAAACTTGTATGCCAATAAAAGTTTTTCTTAAGATTGGGGAGCGATATGATCAATTAGTAGAGTGCTCCAGTTGTTGGGTTAAAATCCCCTTCTATAACTAATTGATTTTATTTCAGTGATCTCAGTAATGTGAAAATGGTTTGGGATAAGTCGATGGCATAGTAGTATTTTAGTAGACTGCTACATCGAGGGTACAAAGGTGAGAAAATACCCTATCAACAAAAATGGTTGGGGATTGGTTGGCCCAACGACTGTCTCCCACGGTTGGCCAACGGTATGTATTGGCCAACTTGCCTACGTTGGGCCAACCCACCAATTGCCAACGAAGGCCCAACGGCTGAATACTTCGTTAGGCCAACTAACCACTAGCCAACGTTGGGCCAACTAACCACTAGCCAACGTTAGGCCAACTAACCACTAGCCAACGTTGGGCCAACTAACCACCAGCCTACGTTCGGCCAATGTACCTAGTTAACTAGGGTACTTCAGCCTGGGTACACACATGGATGGACTACAAAATTACCATTGAGCTGCAAAAGCTAATGAAAAAAATATAGTTTTTTATTTATGTATATAATATAATTGAGCTTGAGCTAATTTTGTATAATAGAGTAAATTAGAGCCACATTTGTTTCAACGATTTAATTATATAGTTTTGAGATTATATAAAATATACTTAAAAAAAACTGCTTATTTATAAAATGATTCTAATTTGAAAACTGAATGTACAAAAAGGTTATTTATATACATGTGCTAACAAAAACGTTGACTGTAATTGGAAAACCATTAAAGACTTAGTCCTTTGCAGACTATAAAAGCTGTATTTAACATACCAAAAAAAAGATTGGGCATACTCGATGCCTAGGTTTCTATAAGGAACAAAATAACAAAACAAAAATATTTAAAAACAATATTTAATAAATATTAAACAAGTACATACTTAATTTCACTACAAAATTGTTTCTACTATTGAGATATACATGTTCATGTTGCAAAATAGTTAGTGATATGGGACGGGAATATTCCCAGTGGGAGGGAACTTATAAAATGGGAATATTTCTTTGGACCTAGGCCAGAAAGATTCTCAAATATTGGGAATTTATGAAAATTTTAAAATTTTTATTGTTTTAACATATTTTGACAGTTAAAAAAACCTTAAAACTATACACATGAGGTATTTATATAAAAGGCATTTTTTAGAACTCATGTTTAAACATCCTTTGGTCTAACATATTCATAATATTCACAACAACATAACATTCATAACACTAGAAAAAATACTAACAGTATAAGAAATGCCGGTAACTAAAAATAAATGGTAGGGAGGGTTTGAGATCCATTTCAAACTTAGGTAGGCCTATCATTCAATCTTCTTCTTTCCCGCCCTCCTTCCCTATCTTTGGTGAAGCGAGACCACTGGCTTGCTATTGAATACACTTCATCATCGGAGACTGCTTCCATTTTTTTGTTCTTCCTCACGAAACCTATAGAATAGTTTATATTAGACCTGAAGAATCAATGAGAGAATTGAAAAGCTGCATTTTGAAGAAGACTATAGCCTCGTTCACACGGGGCGAGTTTACAAGCTACACGCCAGCTTTTATACACGCAGCTAGTAAAATAAAGAATAGTTTATATTAGATCTGAAGAATCAATGAGAGAATTGAAAAGCTGCATTTTGAAGAAGACTATAGCCTCGTTCACATGGGGCAAGTTTACAAGCTACACGCCGGCTTTTATACACGCAGCTAGTAAAATAAAGAATAGTTTATATTAGATCTGAAGAATCAATGAGAGAATTGAAAAGCTGCATTTTAAAGAAGACTATAGCCTCGTTCACACGGGGCGAGTTTACATGCTACACACCGGCTTTTATACACGCAGCTAGTAAAATAGCTCAGTGTGAACGACACGTACTCGCTCAAAAGCTGCTTGTAAAAAAGCTCTGGAAAAAGTTGACGCAGCCGCTACTTTACACGCCAACTCGCCAGCTTTTGAGCGAGTAAGTGTGTAAAGTAGCCCATCAGTGTGAACACAGTTGCTTGTGCTTGTTCGCATGTTATTAAAATATGTCGAAGGATTTGGTGCAAGCCAGCTACTGAGCGAGTGAAAAAGCGTCGTGTGAACGACTACAAGCGCACTCGCCGGCGTCTTTGTACACGTCGGCGAGTGGACAAGCTCAGTGTGAACAAATACAAGCGCACTCGCCAACTCGCTGGCTTCTTACACACTGGCGAGTAGCTTGTATCCTACCATAATGTAGCCTACAGCAATGGCCAAGGTCTTACCAATCATGTTACTGGAGACAAGCTAAAACCCCTTTTCTCATAAATACAGAGGCATAAATAACACCTCCGATGTTTGGTTGGGGGGGATGCCCGACTGTCACCGCTCACACAATTTTGGGGATAGATAAGGTTGTTTCAATAATCTCCGGTGACGAAGGTCATGTTAACAAGACCAAGAAGATAATTCAAGAGTTTTATGAACTTTTATTTTTGGAAAGTATTTGATACTGTTAAATAAACTGTTTAACACGTTCGCTGCGGGTGTTGTATTTATACAACGTGCCTACCGCGCGCTAGGAGCTAGCGTTGTAAAAGTTTGTCATTGTTGGTAAAATATTTTGGTGTAGGTTGGAAGTAAAATTTCCTGTAAAATCCTGTTTGGCAATGCTTTTGTCCCAGTTTCAGAGATTTTCTTTCTTCTAACCACATTACAAAGACACTGGCTAATGATCCAGTCAATGCTGCTACCCTTGGGTGTCTCGGTGAACTACGTCACGAGACCTTGCTGTCAGACCGTCACCGCCCACCACCGCGCCAGAACGCATCATACCGTGCATAGCCGAACTGTTCGTGGGAAATTGTTATCTCTATCACTGTCGTTGTCAAAACTTTTCATTTGCAGGTTAAATTTAAATAAATTTTACTGCCATAACCTAACCAAACTAACCAAACTTACTGATAATGAAAATTTTGTTTGAAGGTTTAATAACAAAAATAGTTCTGTTCATAAAATAAAATTATAAATGTCTCAAAATCAATTATATAATTTTTTAATTATAAAATTAAACCATCATAACCTAACCAAACCAACCAAACTTGCTGATAATGAAAAAATCGAGTCAAAAAGTTAATTCCTCCTGTAGGTTTCGAAACCGACTACCTCTGTTTTATAAGCCCGGTGCGCTATCCACTACACCACCGAAACTCCGGCTGTTCAATGTATCGTTGCGGTAATGGTGTTCGCTCGAGCAGTGGTGGACCAGGTGGGCGGTGGCGGTCGGTCCGCAAGGGATAATAGCTCCACACTTAAGCAGCACAATCACTGCTGTTCTTTTGTAATTCATCAGACTAAAATATTTGAAAGCCAATTGCGATCGCTGATTCGGTGGCGCGCCGGGTCTTCGTCCAGGCCTTGCCGCAATTGGCGAGCGCCTGTTTGACGTATGCCGCAGCGAATGTGTTAATGCACTGTGTATAATGGCTTTACAAAGAAACTCAATAATGTAGTTAACTCACATGTTAATAATTTCATAATGGCCAGATCTTTCAATGGGAGTTTTTTGTTCTTCCCGGTCCAATTGTTTTGGGTAGCAACTTCGTTGGTGAAGAGCCTTTCAAGAATTTGTCTGGTTACGTTGGCCGGTTTCTTGCCTCCAATAAGACTGAGATGCTTTGTCTGAAAAAAAAACTCCTATGAACCTAACATACTTTAGCCATTTCACAAGTATCCACCAAATTGAGGTTAAAATTCATTCTATGTAACTATGAATTATACAAATATTATAATTAAATGGAGTTTGGAATTTGAGTTAGTTCATAAATACAGTAATATTACAGTACAGTACATATATATAGTAATATTATACAATAAAAAAATTTTGTATCTGCTGTTTTACCAACCAGACTTTCTTTTGCTAAGTTTGATAGAAGAAATGTGGCCAGTAAACTGTTATTACTGTATTAGATGAGTGGCAGTAAAAAGTTTTCTCAGATAGTTTTACCATTGGTTAGTTTGTGTAGTATGCATTTTTAATATTAATAAATCAGCTACACACCAAAGTTAGAACGTTGTCCTCATTTGCTGGCCATGTATCCAAAGATTCAACCTCCAGTGCAGAACCACAAGGCAGTGTTACGGTACATCAATTGGTGTCGATAAATTTGATTTTTCTGAGTTATCTGGGCTCAATCTCTCTAAAATTTCTTTCTGGATATTTTCGACGTTTCTCATACGATCATTGAGCTTGACGAGAAGCCGTGCTATTGCATCAACATTGCCACTGGAACCTAAAAACCACAAGATACATTTATTAGACCAACAAAAAATAGTTTACTTGAATAAAAAGGCAGCAGAGGAATCAATGACGAATGACGCAACAAATTATTTATATAGCATCCTACAACAATAGATAAAACATACCCCTTACGATATTACTAAATACATAATTTGCATTTTAACCCTCTATCAGTGACATCAGCGAGTTTTCCACAGGCGCAGATTTTTTTTTAATATGAGATATTGCCAGCCGGCAGCTTTAGAAGTACCTAACATGCATCTTTCCAGGAACCGATTGAACATTATTTTGATCTCACACCTCCCCCGCAAAACCCCTATTAATCAATTGAAGCCTCTGAAGAGTCACGTAGCTCGACTCGGTGAGTCACAGATGATGTTTTTTGCTAATATATTTATAAATATTTAAAATAAGAGTTTATGTTAGTTTCATATAAAATTGTATTGTTTATACATGAGGTTAATAGGTTGTATTAATTTATGTACTGGTATAACATATGTTACTGAGTACTGTATGTTGTTTTGTTTGCTGGAGCCTATATTTTTTTTAAATATGTAAAGCGAGCATTTTAATTGATTTCATGTACAATTGTATTGATTATACATGGTTTTAATGTGTTTTTAATTGTTATAATCATAAAAACATAGTTTGTCTCATTTTTTAACACCACGGAAAACACTGTGTTACTGATCGTGTTTTTAAATCAACGACACCGACGAAGTGTTGGTATCAAATCAAATCTTTTATTTTCAAATTAAATCTATAATATTGCGTCGGCCCTGTCAAAAACTCTCAAAACTACAAATTTTAAACCATTTAAAGTTTAACATGACTTAACGCATCTAATTAATGATTGATTGGTAAAGTAAATTGTTAATTTAAGTAGTTCCAATGCTATCAACCAGAAAGTCTTTAATATGGAATTTTAAATAAGCCTATGTAATCTAATTCCTAAATGCATGGAGTAACTAATAGCACAAAGCAATATAAAAATTAAAGGTAACCATACATGTCGAAGTCAGGACTCCATTTCCATGAGACGTTGTCGATGTTGAAGTCTGATCAAATGAAAAAGTTGCTGCAGGAAAAAAATTCAGAAAAATTTGTACAAAGTAGCCCCAGTTGACAGCATGTAATTTGTTGAAAACGAGTCAGAATCGTGAAACTATCATAGGCCTAACCTAAGTTGAGATTACCAGACTGATACAAAACTAGCCGACTTGACTCAAAAATTTAATACACATCAATGTGTCTCTAACTTAAACGAGTTCAACTTAGGAAACTACGTTAACACTCCATTTTGGTCAAAGTTGAGCCTGAGCCTGACTCATTTGACAACTCGATTTAACCACGAGTCCACTCAAGCGAGAAACTAGAGGTCTGATTCTAAGTTAGTTGAGTTTGACTTGAGTCAGAAAAGTACTTGACTCGTCACATCACTTTAAGTTAGCAGCCTTAAAGTTAGCCTAGATAGGGACAGTGAGGGATGTTAGTTAAAGCCAAAGGGGATTAATTAAGTTTACAAATCTAACTTAGACAAAGGGTAAAAAGTAAACATTAGGCTATATTTATAAAGTGGGAAGTCAAATAACTTAATTTATGCCGATCAAACTGTGAAGGAAAACCTTAACTTAAAATCTTAAGTAAGTTTAAGTTGTGCCTGCATATTTTAAAGCTAAGTTTAGCGTAGCCTATAAGCTAGGTTACTTAGATAGGCCTAGAGTTACGCCATATCGGTAGGCCTAAGAGCCTACTCTAACTTAAGTACAAATCAAATGTAAGTTAGGTCACGGACAAACCAGAGTAGCCTAAATTATTTACGTGTAGGCCTAGGCCTATAACTTAAGTGATGGGTTAAGAAAATTAACAATGTAATTTTAGACTAAAAATCAATGCAAGCTTGGACAATTAAACGTTTTTTTCCACTGGTAAACTTAACCAAGCCTATTAAGTAACTTAAGTAAGCTTGGACCTATTTGACGATTCTTGCAAGTTCATTGAGTAACTAACTTAACAAAACCTTAACCCTAATTGATATATCGATCGATATTTCCATTCGGTTATTTTTTGACAACAGATGTACGGAAGTCTAGGCCTAAGTAAGTTATAAGCCGCGTTTACACCTGAATTAGGAAGGAAGTGTGATAACAAATCAAGAAGGAACACAACTTTTTGAACAGAAACATTTTGATGTTGGAAACAGTGGTTTAGTGTTTAAGACACAACAGAAAATTTGTTTCCCACAAGAAGTCGGTTGAGACCGAGGGGTGTTACAAACAAAAGGACAAAATTATTTTGGAACAAATGCTTCTGTAACTTTTTAATTTTCAATAGGCTAGTTTAATATTGTTCTGTAAGTTAGTAAGTTAACTTATAGGCCTACTTATTTTTAGAAACAAGTAAGCTATTAGGCCTAGGACTACCAACAAAAAGTTCCAAACATGTTGTTCCAAGCTCCGGTGTAAACGCCGCGGGTACAGTTTCTTAACTGGGCTATGCTAATATCGATTGAAACTATCGATCCGATTAAGTTAGTAAACCTACATGCGATTTTTAACGATCAGCAAGTGTGGTTGGTTAGGTTAGGTTATGATAGTTTTATTTTATAATAGATATAGCCTATTTAAAAATATTGATTATTAATCAATATTTTTTCAATTCGATAGTTTCAATCAATATTAGCATAGCCCAGTTAAGAAACTGTACCCAACGCGGCTTTAAATAACTTTATTCTCTAGGCTACCTTCAAAGGTATGAATAGGCCTAACTTAATCTTGTATTCAACAACATTGATTCATTCCAAAAAAAAACCCCAAAGCAAGACATCTTATCAACTTACGTACCTACTTAATACCAAGGCAACATTAACTCTGCCTTGTTATAACTCTTAAGATAAATAATAAGCCTACCGGTACCTAAGTTTATGTTGTTGTTGTTAGACCTTAACTATAGGCTAGTTATAAAAAATCATCTTACCTCGTTAGTGAAAAGTTGAGGATTTTATCGTTCGTAAATTATAAGATGAAAAACATTAGCAGTGACACAAATAGAACATAAAACAACTTAACTTAATACACTGACACGACCGACACGAGTAAAATCGAATGAATAATAATCAAATATCAAAATCCAAGATTCCAAGATGGCTACTCCCTCCTCTCTCTGCCTGGCTTGGCTTGGCTGGCTAGAGCGAAGGCCCATCGTGGTGCATTGTGGGTGGAATACCACGACAATTCCCCAACAATGGCCCAACGAAATTACAAGTGTTGGGCCAACAACACAAATACTGCGTTGGGCTAACGTTGGCAGTTTGTTGGCAAACCCACCCACCATTTGCCAACCATGCCAACCAATTCCCAACGTTGGCCCAACCATGCTTGTTGATAGGGTATTCCCGTTTTTAGGTTCGTTTACGAGATGGGTTTCGTACATAACTCTTTATTAGGATCTCCGGGATAACTTAAAGGTTTCCCTCTGCTACACATTTAATCGTGGGAAAAATACGTTAAAAATCAAATAATATTTATATTTTACATAATAACTAAAGGTGTGTATACTTTAGGAATTTTCCAATATGATTTATAAAGAAGGATAAAATGTTTTTTTGTAAATAATAAAATTACAGATTGTAATATATTTTTGATTATGTATGGAATTCCTTCGGTTTCATCGAATCAGTAATTAGTTTGTTGAGAAGAAACGTTTTAGTGAAATTGACATATTTGTTTAAATTGTTACAGAATCACATTCAAATATATACACCTATTTATGTCGCTTTTGACTTAAGTCAAAACTGTATGTCAGCGGAACGAACGAACCTGGTCGAACTATTCTTGAGTTATTGATTAATTATAAACCCTTATAAAATTATTAAGGATTAGGGTCTAAACCTTAAAACCTTAACCTTGGGGGGGGGGGTTTAGGGTCAGGTTAGGTTCTGGCCGGAGTTGCTTGAGCGGATTAGTTTCCACGTCCCAGGAGGGGGTACCAGATCGAGGGAGCTGTTTGCTAGGTCCCACCATGCTTTTAAAATTGCATAGTTTGTGCTGAATTCTGTTGTCAATTATCTGAACTTTTTCAAGATTACAATAAAAAATTTTGATGACATCAAAACATATTATATCCATAGTACAATTTGTTTACATCCATATGAAAATGGGGTTATCTGTAAGTCGGTGATGTCATTTAAAAATCATTTCGGCCTCTGCCCCAATGGCTTCATAGTTTCCCATGTTAACCTTATAAGTATTCATATTTAAAATGAATTAAAGAATTTTTGTCAGCTGTTTCAACTACACAAGTTGGTTCTATGATATTCAATAGCATTAAAGAGGCCACCTCTGTGTCTGGTAAGATTAGAAAACGTTAACAAACACTTTACTTCAATAGACAAGCTCCTCCTGCACATGGGATATCTCTGCTGTAAGCTCCTCCCCCATTTTTTGTCCCTGCTCATTAGGACCTTAGGTCAATCTGTATGTTAGAAAAAGACCCTCAAACCAATGGCCAATCTGTACGCGCGCATAAACATATTTAAATCGACGAAACAATTTTCAAAGAATATTAATTCATAGCACATATAACAATTCATTGTAGTGTATAGAGAGGAAAAATATAATTGTTTATTATCTTCTAAATAATTTAAATTTGCTCACTTTAGGGATTTTATTTTTGTCTAGAAAAATTGTTTTTAATTGGCTTCCGAAAACTATAATGTAGTAAAATTAAATTTGCTAAAACGCTTTCTCTATAATATGAATAACAAGCCATTTTCAGCTTTAAGTACCATCTGAGGAGTTATGGTTTTCTGTCAAAAAAGACAAATCTTTCAAGTTAAATCGAGTAAAACTTTATTCAGAACTATCTTTTGGCCTCAACAGCTTCTAGTTATCTAACTCTAGACAGGAATAGGTTTATGGGTCAGTTGCAGTTCCCTTGTAGTGTAATTTTCAACAAGATAAATAACCAGAAACACAGGGAGATTTTTCGTTATGTTTTAGAATTGTAACAATGTAAAATTAATTATTACTACTTAAGAGTTTTTTTCAAATATCTGTAAATGTGCCAGCATGATTAGAATCTCTGCTTCGTGAAGACTATTATTCACCACCATATATTTTTTCGGGGACCTTTTGAGTGCGGTTTTACTCTTAATACTTGATAAGTACTGTTGCTCTTAATAAAAAAATCATATCGTTCATCTACTCCAAGTGCTTGCAAATGCGGTGCAATCTGCTACACTGCTATGCTTTTCTTACATCCCCTTTCATTATGTCACTTAATAACACATTGTCTCCCACTTTTCTTTATTGGTTCCATGTAAATTATCTGCTTAAATTGGGATTCTACCTAACTTACTTAAGTTTTATTGGGGACCAAGCTTAAAGAAATTGGCGATCGGTGAGAGTGGAACCCATATGATACAGTTTATGATATACCCTCGATGGTTAAACTTTCTCCAGACCTTCGTTTTTAGGCTTCGCTCTTCTTTTTCAACCTCTCTTCTCGGGATTGAACCATCTTCAAACTGAAACCCAATTTTTTCTTTTAGTTTCAATCACTTATCACGAGGCTATTCCTCTGGTATATACAAACATACAACTATTTTTAATTAATTTCGTAATTACACCAACTAAATTGAGCCATTAACAACCTTTAAAGTTCCTTGAAATCTTGTAACATGAAGCTATTTCACAAAACTGATTTCTTATTTAACTAGAAAATATCATTATTCTAATCAGAAAATCTAGATAGAATGATGCGAAAATGCATGATACACAGTAAAATTTCTTCAAATTATGTTTATTTAGTTGGTTATAAGAATACTCTTTATTTACCACAACACTAAAAACAAATTTTAAAAGCACCAATAACCGGTATATTAAGTTATATAACGTGGTTTTCATGGAGTCTATAAATCAGTATATGAAGTAATAACCGGTGTAGGACAAACTGAGCCTCATAACCGAGCAGGTGACATTATTACTGAAACTATGGTGTAATACACAACGTAGACCAACGTCGTGGCGTTGCGTCGTACCAAGAACCAAACTATCTGTTTATTAACATTGTTCATTGGTTATTTAATTTAGCGTACAAAAGCCATTACACTAGCGATGCACATTAGATGTAATATAAATGCTATCACTGTCACTTTTAAATTGTTGGTAAATTAATTTTAGAAAGGCCACACAGCTGCAATTTTTTGAAGTTGAAAGAATTTGTTCAGCAATATGCATTGAGAAACAAACATTAATTCTAGCTAGAACATTACTGATTTGTAACCGTAACTAGAATTGGAAGTAATCATGGTATCTTATAGCCTCAGGATTACCAACAAATATTGAACATGGTTTAGTTTGTTACCAATGGTTGCTTTGTACTGTACCAGCTCACTCCTTGATTTGCTGTATACGATCCACGCACGGGCGGGGCGGTTTGTATATGTGGACGGACAAAAAAAAAACTGGCTAAGTGTAGTGGGTTGCAAGGTTAAAAGAGGCCGCCAACCTCTTTTATATAAAAAAATGCTAGATTAATTAATACTAGTTTAGGTTGCATTGTGCCTTCTTCAGATTGTGCATATATTCGTCTTACATAGTCATTGTCTGGCATAGACCATCACTTGAAGAAACAAAAATAACATTGGCGTAAACATACACACATTATATTACACAGAAAACTGGACACGTAAACATAAAACAAATCGGCCATCAGCCTGCAGTCTAGACTAACCTACTATTTGGTTCACGACCTGCAACCCATCTAAACTAGTTGCTAGGTTCAATTTAAAGGACTAGACATGTGTCTACACCAAACATATTATTTCCTTTGATAAGAACTGTGTTTACCTAGTACCTAGTAATAACTTATAGCCGTGTTTACTTAACACGGGCCCAAGATAAACAGGTACTCTGTTGGTATATATTGTTGTCCTTTGTGTACTCCAATTAAATTAAAATATTTTGAATATAATATATATAGATTTCATTTCAAGGTAAATAAGTAGGCCTAAACTGTACTCATATAAATTACGAGGACGTCCTCCATTACATCAATGTAAGGGGCGTCCTAACACTTTTTGACAATAATTTGGAGGATGGTTTTAGGATGAAGTAAATAAATACAGGTACAGTATATTATAAAATTATGCAATAACTCCAAGTTACATAGAGGATTTATTTTTTATATATTTTCTACCAGCCAACCATAAACAAAATATATCTATGATATTTGAATGGTTGTTAACCTAACCAAGACCTATTACTATGAAAAACTTTCTAAACGAAAATCAATATTCATTTGAGATTTAATTGATAATTATATAAAAACTTAACTTGGACAGCTGAAGAAAGTAGCTTATTTTAAGATATTTCATTAAAAATGTTAGATACAGATGAGCTCAGGCGATAAAGGTGTCAAACAATACAAAATGAGCGATAATAAGTATTAAACAGGCAAAGTAGCAACGAACTTTGACCTGTCACAAAGAACAAAAGTCATTTGACTGCTGAAAGTAGTTCACCTTAATTTACCCCGCAGTTTAGCTGTTCACCTTCCTGGAATTAGGATATTATACAAATTTTTCAGAGCTGATATTTTTATCACCACTTTGTAAAGTTGTAGGTTGTAAAGTGTTAATATATTAATTAATAATAGATATTAACTTTCTACAATTCCTTCTGTTACAGAATAGTTTTAACAATGCACGGGTTTATAGGTATCATTATACTTAAATGAATAGTTTATGTTGTACACATTCACATGTCTCCCTTCCAAACTCAATCAATCATAATTGCATTTCAGAAATATAATATTAAATATTTATGAATACTAAAAACACTCGAAAATTGGGTCCCTGCAAAGCAAAGATAGCGTGTAGGCACCACGTCAGAACATTATAGTCCAGGACCTGACTAGGGTTCTGTGTGCATGTCGTGTATAGAGAATTTTGCTTTTGCATTTCAATATGGGTGTCTTAGGAAGTGTTTTCCACTCGGGTGTCAAGTTCGCACCTGGTACGTTTTCGAGCTATGACGTCATCAAAATGGCGGCCATTGATTTTTTTAAATCGTATATTTCGCAAACTATTTGTCGGATCGGAATGAACTTTTTTTTGTTTGAAAGATAATTTTAAATGCTACCTG